GTAGATAATTTATTTAGAAGGTAATTCTTGATGTGATGGAGAATAGGGATGTCAATTTTTACCGCCCTGCCAGGGCCCCGCCCTATCCCGCCCAGTTAATAACGGATATGAGAACACTTTTTATATCGTTGTGGTGGGCATGGATACAAATTTTGTACCCGTCGTGGGTCATGAGGCGAGTAAGAGTTCAGAATATATATCCTAGGGCCCCGCCCCGCTAAACACATAACTATATTTAATATATATATATATATATATATATATATATATATATATATATATATATAATATTAATAACTTATTTTAGCGGCTTACCCAGTTACTCATCTCTTACAATCCTAATTTGGGATGTAAACTTGGTATTAAATTTGCTTTTATTTTGGTTATGGTGGAAGTTGGATCTTGAATTTCTTGTGATTTGGTTGTATTAGACTTTTATTTTTGTTTATTATATTATCTGAATTATGTTATGTGCATGTTATTTTTTTTAATTTTTTTTTGGGATACATAATTTCATTTATGTTATGCCATTCCCAGGCTTCCACATTTAAATAGCAGGAGCTTAAGTTCAAAAAAGTGGGAGAAAAAAATTTGTTAGCGGGGCGGGCACGGGGGCACAGTATTTCCCAACGTGGCGGGGCTGGACATGAAAATCCAACCCGTCGTGAGTCTCGGGGCGGGCATGAACTTGACAAAAATTAAAAGGGACGAGGCGGGATTTAGGGAAACCCGCTCCAAACTCGCCCCGTTGCCATCCCTAATGGAGAAATTGATGTCAGGATATGAATTGATATATTAAACTAACTAATTTTTTTTAAATATAATTGGAATTAGGATGGGCAATCAACAATTAATTACTCAGATGGGAGTATCAATTATGTAGTGTGTCATAAAAACTGAAATATTGTACATATTAGGAAGGTCACTTTGGCATGATCTCTTCAAATTTCACATTGTGAAAAAAGAAAAAATATATAACATCTCAGATATATTCTTCAAATTTCATATATTTTATTATAAAAAAAAAGGCGAAAAATGTATAGAAACAGTAAAAAAAAGTATTGTACTTTTATATACAGAGGCATCTTGCACTTTTATACATAGTATATATTTATAGATAATTTAATTTAGAAGGTAATAATTGTTATATATAGATATAATGGAAAATGGTAAATCACTTTAGAATTATCGGGCAGCTGAACTATTTAATTCAATTCATTTGAATTAAAAACCATAAAAATAGTATTTAAAACATTTAATGAAAATATTCGTGAGTTTAAAGCTTTTTAAAACTGTTGGGCTATTCAATTTATTTGAATTAAATTATTATGTGTTTTTATTTAATGCGACTTTTTTTGTGAAAAAAAAAATTCAAAAATGTTAAGAAATTAGCTACACCCTATAAATATAATTTTAAGATTTTTTATTTTTAAAAAATTAAAAAATATTAAGAAATTGAATTAGACAAAGTCATCTTGCACTTTTATACATAGTATATATATTTATAGATAATTTAATTTAGAAGGTAATAACTATTATATATAGATATAATGGAAAATGGTAAATCACTTTAGAATTATCGGGTAGCTGAACTATTTAATTCAATTCATTTGAATTAAAAATCATAAAAATAGTATTTAAAACATTTAATAAAAATATTCGTGAGTTTAAACCTTTTTAAAACTGTTGGGCTATTCAATTTATTTGAATTAAATTATGATGTGTTTTTATTTAATGTGAATTTTTTTGTTAAAAAAAAATTTCAAAAATGTTAAGAAATTAACTACATTTTTAGAATAGTATAGATTTATAGATAATTTAATTAAAAATATTAAGAAATTATACAGAGGCATCTTGCACTTTTACACATAGTATATATTTATAGATAATTTAATTTAGAATGTAGTAACTGTTATATTTAGATATAATGGAAAATGGTATATCACTTTAGAATTATCGGGCAACTAAACCATTTAATTCAATTCATTTGAATTAAAAACCATAAAAATAGTATTTAAAACATTTAATGAAAATATTCGTAAGTTTAAAGCTTTTAAAACTGTTGGGCTATTCAATTTATTTGAATTAAATTATTGTGTGTTTTTATTTAATGTGACTTTTTTTGTGAAAAAAAAAAAATTCAAAAATGTTAAGAAATTAGTTACACTCTATAAATATAATTTTAAGATTTTTTATTTTTAAAAAATTAAATTTTTTTTAAGAAATTAAATTAGACAGAGTCATCTTGCACTTTTATACATAATATATATATTAATAACTATTATATATAGATATAATGGAAAATGGCAAGTCACTTTAGAATTATTGGGTAGCTGAACCATTTAATTCAATTCATTTGAATTAAAAAACATAAAAATAGTATTTAAAACATTTAATGAACATATTCGTGAGTTTAAAGTTTTTTGAAACTGGGCTATTCAATTTATTTGAATTAAATTATTATGTGTTTTTATTTAATGTGACTTTTTTTGTGAAAAAAAAAATAAAAAATGTTAGGAATAGTATAGATATAGATTATATAAGCATATATATATACATATGAAGGTGTCTTCTCCGTAATGTCACGATCCGATTCCTAACGACGCCATGAGCATAGAAGATACGCATGCTGGTTGGCTAAGAACATTCATTGACTGGGAATGGTTCCAGTGAAGGGGCGTGCAGGACCACAGGATGGTACCTCTTCAGAGTTCAGGCAGGTTGACTCGGTTCAGTTCGAGGTGCTTGTCGCTAGTCTTGGACTTAACTATGAAGAAGGGAGTTGGCCATCCCTGCACAAACTGGTCGGGAGCTGGAGCCGTTCCCCTGACGAGGCCATGGCAGGCCGAAACCAGTCAGCATGTATCCTTGGGAGGGCAGGTCGTGGTGGCTGACCAGGGCGCTTGCGCGAGCTGAAGCAACGCCTTGGTGCCGCACGGGCCATGCCGCTGCGCCAAATCTCTAGGCCCGTGACAAATGGTATCAGAGCAGGACTTGGGGAAAAGCACAGAGGTGTGCCCTCTTGTCGATCCGGGGGTCTTGAGAAAGAAGACGGTGCACTGAAAAAGCGTCAGTGGGTAATCAATGCTGTTGGAGGAGAGCCTCCATCTCCCCATGAAGATGCGTCCTTTAAGCCGGAGGGCCGCGCGCATCGGATGGCCGGAGGGCCGCGCGCACCAAAGTTCTTGCAAGTTCAAGAGGCGTGCAAACCGTTGTGAAGGGCGGGTATCAAGTCAGCCGGAGGGCGCTTGTTTGGTCGGGGTGTCGCGGAGGCGGCATAACGTGGGGTTGCGTCCCGAAGAAGTGGGCGTCCCTTTAGCCTGAAACCCTATCATTGGGCGAGTGCAGCCAGGGGTTGTACAAGGAAGCGATGGTGGGCAGGCGAGCATACCACTTGGAGGAGACAGGCTTTGGAATGTTGGACGCAGCGGAGTCAGCGCTGCACTGCGACGAGGGCGTCGCAGGATTTGGGTGGGGGAGAATGTCACGATCCGATTCCTAAGGACGCCATGAGCATAGAAGATACGCATGCTGGTTGGCTAAGAACATTCATTGACTGGGAATGGTTCCAGGGAAGGGGCGTGCAGGACCACAGGATGGTACCTCTTCAGAGTTCAGGCAGGTCGACTCGGTTCAGTTCGAGGTGCTTGTCGCTAGTCTTGGACTTGACTATGAAGAAGGGAGTTGGCCATCCCTGCACAAACTGGTCGGGAGCTGGAGCCGTTCCCCTGACGAGGCCATGGCAGGCTGAAACCAGTTAGCATGTATCCTTGGGAGGGCAGGCCGTGGTGGCTGACCAGGGCGCTTGCGCGAGCTGAAGCAACGCCTTGGTGCCGCACGGGCCGTGCCGCTGCGCCAAATCTCTAAGCCCGTGACAGTAAGCTCTCTTACTTTTTCAATCTTATATGTACTATTATATGTAAATGAAATTATATTTAATTAAATTAATCATTGACTCTAAATTAATGGGAGGTGATTTTAAATGAACTTTAAAAAAGAAAATAGTTCAAGGAGACCTGACACCGCCAGACAATAAATAAATAAATAAAATAGTTCAAATTTAGATAGCACCTCATCAATTTTGTCTTAAAAATACCACATGACAATTAATTAATATTGAACCACTTGCAAGTGTTAAAAAAAAAAAAAAAGAAGATAATTTTGAAATGATAATTATAAAAAATATTATATTATTTTATTAACAGATACAATAATTCTTTGATGAAATTAAAGAAAAAAAATATATTTATTTGAGAAATATATTTATTTATATTGTAACAACTTTAGTATTTTGTCCCATAAATCTGAAAAAATAAATTTTACATCACCTTTATTTAGGGATGGCAACGCGGTCTCCCGCCCCCGTAACCGCTTAAAAATTATGCCCCCGTCCTCGTCCAAAACCGCAAAAACGAGGGGACTTTTCACTTTATCTCCGCAATCGTTTAACATTTTTATCCCGCGGGTACCCGCACCGCCCCGTTTAAGACCATAATTTATTTATTATTGAAATAGATTTGTTCGTTTTTTTCCCCTCATATTCAGTTCTTTACCATTACAATTTTCCTTCTAATCAAATTCATTTGTTACTTTAATATTGTTATATAAAGTATTTAATATAAATATATATTGAAAAATATATATATTAATGAAATAAGGGTACTAAGTAATTTGCCTATTTAAATGGGACGGGACGACATCTTCCCGTCCTCGTACTAAATCCGTGCAAATTTTTATCACATCAAAGTACCATTCCTATCCAAATAAACTAAACAATTCTCCAAAATTGCTAAAAAAGGGACAGGACGGGTAATCGCGAGTCAGGTCAAATTGCCGTTCCTAATTTCAGTAAAGCCTTTTATTGAAACTAAAATTTTTTCACCTCCCGCCTAAAACCAATTGCCTTTTCCATTGCCGCCCATTATGTTATTATTATATTTTTGTAAATAAATAAATAATATATTTTTCACCTCGGCGACTGTGCTAGGCTCCAGATTTTTCTTTTGTACCCTTCCCTACATTTCCAAAGACAAAGCACCATCTTCTCAGTTTTGATCTCATTTTCAACTAATTACCGAGTCGTTTAAGGCATCCTTGACTTCAAGTTAAATTTTCTCATCATCTTGTATGTTTTCTTTTTCCCTAGTTTATAGACAACGATCAAGTTTTTTTTTTTTTTTTTTTTTTTTTTTTTTTTTGACTCATCCGCTTCTATTATCTATGTGGGTACGACTCTCTTACTCTCTCTCTAAATCTATCTTTCTCCAACCTTAGCCCTAATTTCGCACACTGACTGTCAAGTTCGCCCCAAATTTTCAACTATAGATTCTCTTTTGTACACATAAATATATGTATGTATATATATACATCTTACATTCAGATTTTCTCTGAAACGATTTCAATTTGATTGTGATGTGTAAACCCTTTCTTTGAAACAATTTCATGTTCTTCCAATACGGTTTCGTCAGTGGCCAGATCGATCCTTCTAGATCGAACCTCTATTTCGCCTTCTAAACCTTTTTTAAATCTTAAACTTTTCAAATTTATATATATATATATATATATATATATATATTTTTTTTTTTTTCTAGCGTCTTCTATTTTTAATTTTGTTATTGTTATTATTATTATTATTATTATTATTTTTTTTTAATAAATTTTCATTTTGGGGGATTCTACGAGTGAGGTGCAAGTGCGAAGAAATTTGAACCAATACTGCTCTCATTTCTATTTAATATTTACTTTCTTTATAATTTATATGCGTGCATATTTTCGATTTTCATTCATTGTGCTTTTGCCCTTTAAATTACAGGTTGTGCCACAAGCTAATATGGTATTCATTCGTCAATCTAGAAGAGATACCTAAGGTGATATTTTTATATTATAAGTTTTGAATTTAAATTTTTTGAATGAAAATGCATGGAAGGTTATTTGGAATATAGTATTTTTTCCTGGTTTATATATATGAAACTGAACCTTTTTGTTTCTGGTAAATAAGAAAGTTATGGAAGCCTTAGCAAAAGTGGCCTTAAAAAAAAAAATTATAATAAAGTGTGTAACTGATATCTACTACTCATAGACAAAATGGCTCTCTTAATACTTTTAAAAGTTGACAATCTTTCACCTTTTCCGCTATGTCTTGCACCATATTACCTTTTAAAAGTTGTCATGCCCTGATTTTGAAACCCATAACCCGTGGTATGATTAGATAGGTTTAGGTATTTTAAAAAAATTAAGGTTATTTTACTTGCTGGTACAATGAGTTTGTATTTAAAATTCCTAAAAAAAATCCTATGGAAATTCCGTAATCCACAAATCTCCTCTTCTAGTTTTCTTTTCCTTTTTCCCTTTTCCCTTTTCCCTTTTCCCTGGCCGTCTTCTTTCTCTAACAGAATAAAGCATCGGGTTTTGTTTTTCCTTCCCTTTCTGGCTTCTAGGTGTCAATCTCAGATATTTATTTCGTTAAACTATTATTATTATTTTTCCTTTCAATCAGTTACCTAAAGCTTACCAAGTAAGATTCCTTATGTGAATGAAAATTTGTACCTATATAGACACGTACATGAGAGTATGGAAAATCTAAAATCTGACTTTATATATATATATATATATATATATATATATATATGCTCAAAACATGATTATCTTCTTTCAGAAGCTTTGTCTATTTAATCAGCACCTGCATATTTCAGAAAGTCTCAATCTTGCTAGCCAAAACATGAATTACTTTTAGAATTTTCATATTTGATGAACTTAGAATATGAGCTTAAATTTTTTAAATGACCATATTCAAATTGAATTGCAATGAGATCCAAAACACACACACACACACACACACACACACACACACACACATATATATATATATGGGGAAAAATCAGATAACCCCCCTCTATTATTTTTTTCCATCAAATTGCCTCCACTAAAATTAAACACCCCCCTCAACTGTAAACCGTCATCACATTGCCCCCTTTCCGTTCAAACCCGTTAACCTGGCGTTTGAGTAGTAGCGCGTGACCAATACGCGCTTATCAAAAAAAAATTTCCCCTAAAATACCCCTTCCCTATCCTCTTCTGTGTAATATTATATATATAAGTGTGTTATGTACTGTATATATCTTCTCAAAGACACAAACAAGTCCATGTAGCGGTCACCGGCGCGGGGTGCTCCGGCAAAATCCATAGAATCTAGAAACCAACCATGCATAGAGGTGACGTATTAAGGGTATTAGGGAAATGAATTGACTTATGAAATGCTGAAAGTCTTGATCTTATGTGTCATATAGCAATAAGTCTTGATTTTTTCATATGACCTGATATGAAAAAATCCAAAATCAGAGCAACCTCATAAATTGCATGGACAATAACAATGATTTCTTGTAAATTTTCAATTGGAATTAGCTCCTTTTGTGGAATATTATTTTTCTTGACGATTTCAGAGTACTGGGATTCGAATGAAGAAGAGCTGCTTATTGGACTGTGACTGTGCTTCACATACTCTTCATAGAGGTCTTGATTTTTGGATGAAGAGAAGGAGAGAGGATTTAGTGAGAGAAATATTAATTCCAAGGGATTTCAAACAATATGCCTTTTGGATTGCACAAAAGAAAGCAATTTAGAGAGAGAACCAAGCCAGAGATGAGGAGAGATGTGACAGTGTGTGTGTGTGTGAGAGAGAGAGAGAGGAGGGAAGGAAGGGGCGAAATCTGGAGGGAGGCTTTGCAGCCATAAAGAGAGGATTTAGTGTGAGAAATAATATTCCGAATGATGATATCAAACAATGGTACTATGCCCTTTGAAATGCACAACACAACCCAAAGAAAAAAATACTAAAAAAACACCCTATCTCCAAAGACCCCTGTATTCAACCCTCCTTCCACAACGCCATTGCCTACGATGCCTCCAAGCCATTCCGCCGCCACCTATCCCTCCGCCTCTCCAACTGCTCTGACGATCTTGAAATGTCTATCACCGCCCTTAAATCTCTCTCCACCCTCACCAATCTCGCATTCATCAACTGCCCCATTTCACTAATTCATTTCCCCTCCAAACTCACTTCCAATCTCCACTACTTCACCTGCATCAACAGCCTCAAGAAGCTCACCGGAGTCTTGCTCGGTTGGATGCCGAACCTCACCGATTTAACCGTCTACGGCGTGACTGTAAACGCCAGTGGTCTGTTGATCATCTTTGGAAACATGAAGAAGCTCAAATCAGGAAAATCATGAAGAAACATTAAATCTTGTATTTGTAGGTTAATATATATGGAAAATCATTTTCTGTGAACTCTTCCATTGTTTGCGCGTTTATTATCTAGTACTATGAATTATTTCAGTAAAATTTTGAAGTTATGGGCATTTGTAATACGACCGCGTTTTGTTGCATCCAAATAGTACATTTTTTTGTATTTAAATTTCATATAATATTATGGGGGGTATAGTTGTCATTTCACAACAGGTTAACGGGTTTAAACGGAAATGGGGCAGTGTGATGATAGTTTATAGTTGAGTGGGGTGTTTAATTTTAGTGGGGGCAATTTGATCGAAAAAAATAGTACAGGGGGGTTATTTGATTTTTCCCATATGTATATGTGTGTGTGTGTGTGTGTGTGTGTGTGTGTGTGTGTGTTTCCTTCGAGGCTTGTGTATTTCAATGTTCCAACCATTCGAACAAAATATTTGTAAAATGTGAACTTTTTCTGTTAGATAATTGTGTTAGACTGCTTGGTGCAATATGGGTGAAACAATAATTCCTATTCCAGTCCAACAACAGTTACTTGTTTTTTTCTTTCTTTCCCCGCACCTCTACATAGCACAATAAAGGTTTGGCTTATTATATGATGAATAATGTGTTTGTTGCATAACTTTGTAAAATTTGCATCTCTATCTTCTTTGCTCAGTTCTCTCACCACCAATCTTTGAACTCTAGACCTAGAGGTTGACCACACAAACCAACTTCTATGCCAAAGAGTCTATGAGAGAATCAGTAATTTGCAACTATATCATTCTAGACCTAATTGTTTAGGAAGAGCCATGAATATTTTGAGGAACTACTTGATGAACTTAACTGTTTAGTAATGTTTACATGTCAAGAAGTTTATGAACGCTAAAAAAGAAGAAAGAATACTATAATTCACTATGATGGAACATCTCGAAATACACTAATTGCAGAAGAAAATGCATAATGCAATAAAGATCTAATATTCTTGGGACTTTACTATTATGCTCAGGCCTAACTTTCATCTGGTGCACGACATCAATCAGTAATCTACTTCATAGGGTGTTGTGGCAGAGTAATTGATTCAAGAAATCGATCTAAAGTCTGTAAAAGATCACACTAATTCCATAACTCTCCAAAGAATTAAATCAAATCTTGTACTTTAGGGGTGACAATTATTTTAATTGATAATCATGTTTAGTTTCTTAAAATAGCGTTATTATTCTAGTGCTTGCTAAAGTTTGCCTTGTATATTGGTTTTAAAATTAAATTAGAATAGAAAGTCTCCTTAAAATACAAGGAACAAACATTATTTACTCCAGTTTCTAGGTGTTGAAGAGTCAAGATACTTGGGTATATTGACAAAACTAATAGGGCTACAAAGCCTACAATAGAATTAAATTAAATAAGTAATGGATAAATAATATGTTCAACTATTTTTTAATAATCTAACCTAGGGACTCAACAATGAGGCTAATAATTCTATTAACATATTAACTATATATATATTTAGAATTGGCTAAAAAGCTTTTCTCACACAATTCCATAAAAAACGGGTATAGTCAAATTTGAACTTGAAAAGACCAAAAATTACTTGTATACAATTAATCAACAATCTAAGTTTGATGATGTGTGGTATTATACAGATTCTAGAGAATTAGATATTGTGGTGGCATGTGTGGTGTGGATATATGAAAATATTTAGTACAAAATACAATAAAGTACCTATTTAGCTGGTAACTTTTTCATTTTTCAACCCTTCTATATTTACTCCCAATCTTATTGTTGTAATTGGGTGAGACAAGGCTTTCCGCATAGGTCTGCTTTGCTTGAAACATAGTTGTAATGCCATGCACCACAATATCCCTCAATGTGCTTTCTTTAGAGTTGTATGCTACCAATTTCTCTCCATTCATCTCCAGCAAAACTTCCCCATCCACCAAAAAAGATAAGGGTTTCATCACGGACAAATTAGGCATACAGATGGTAAATTTTGTTCGAGACTCAGTCACACCATATACTTTATCACCCAAACATCAGTATCGGTACTACTCTAATATTCAACCATAAAGAAGTTGAAGGTTGTCAAAGATGAGAATTTTTTTTTTATAAAGCTAGGGCTAGCTACTTATCAAAAAAAAAAAAAAAAATTGAAGAAAAGAAAAGAAAAGCTAGGCCTAGCCTTCTGCTTCACAGACAGGTTGACAGACTAAAAGATATTTAGTTGAATGAGCTTGAGTCTGCTTTGGACCTGGAAGAGGTAGAGCTTGCCCAAAAATCTAGAATTCTTTGGTTTAAAGAAAATGAAAAATGTTCCAAATTCTTTTATCAAAATTGTAGCAGAGGAGGGCTTTCAATTCCATATCTATAATGTTTGACAAATGCTCCAAATTTCAATTTTCATATTTGATGAACTTAGAATATCAGCTTAAATTTTTTAAATGACCATATTCAAATAGAATTGCATTGAGATCCAAAAAATATATATATGTTTTTCCTTTGAGGCTTGTGTATTTCAAGGTTTCAACCATTTTGTTGGAACAAAATCTTTGTAAAATGTGAACTTTTCCTGTTAGATAATTATTGTTAGGCTGCATGGTGCAAGAATTCCTATTCCAGTCCACGAACAACAATATGCTTAGACCATCTCTTAAATGGAATGATATTTCTGGCAAACTCCAAGGAAGAAGGTGTAGGGTTCATAACCCAGTTGGTGGTTGATAAATAGGTATGTATGTAGTAATCATCGAAATAATAACTAAATGTTAAGCAAATGTTAAATAAACATAGCATTAACTAGTAAAAAAGGATGAAGATTAAATAAATTGAACATATCCTTGGAAAATAATTTTTTTAGTTGTGTGGAAAACTTTCATAGTGTAACATCAAATTAATGAATGCATGAGGTTGGTTGCAGCAAGTAAGTCTTCTCCGTAGCTTTCCTTTTTTTTTTTATTGTGCCTCAGTTTCATTAAATGCCAAAAAATATTTGTTTGCTAACATGTTTTGCCTCCTTTTTATTAAATTCCAAAAGATATTGGTTACATAAATGTTCTGTCTCTTTTTTGCCTTACCAAGTTTTGGTGTCGTGCTTCCTGTTCTTGCATTGCATACTAGTAATTTTCCTCAAAAATGATTACTGTGAAACAAGAGTTACGCGGGGTGCGGAAACAGTTAGTTGATTTTAATTGTGATCAACTCCTTTAATGACCTAGATCTGATTATTAGGTCAACTTACTCAATTTATGATTGATTAAATTATATAACCAATTTAAACATACATCCACAATCACAAATACATGAAAAGTAAAGCAAGTTAGAGTTAAAGAGATTGCACCAGAATTTTAGCGAGGAAACCCCAGTTGATAAAATACGTCAACTGTTTGCATGAGAAAAATCTCGTGGACTATGCAGTCCAAAGTAAACCAATCCACTATGTTTGAAACAAAGTATACCAAACTTTGACTCTGGCTTATACCCTATCATTTTACACCAAACCAACCGCTGACGATCCTCTAGCTTTGCGACTCCCCATTCAACAGCAACTTGACTTCAGACTTACACTTGATACTTGTAGAAGAGTAGCAGGTAGATCAGACAGCACTCCACGAATACTCCAACCTTTCCAAAGTGTGACTGCGTTTACTTCTGTTCTTCAAGATCTGAATTTGATTGTAGAAGAATTAACTCCTGCTGATCATCCGGAATATCTGAATTTTCAATACAGCTCTAATTCCGATGAGATAGAGAATACTACAACTAAATCTCTCATGAATATATATGTGTGCTCTCAAGAATAAATTCAGAATAATCAGATTTGATTTTCTGAATTTTCCTCTCTTAAAGGCTTTCTCAAAATATAGAATTGATTCATCCTAAAGCCGTCTCACAACCAATGTACATGACATGGTTTATATAGAGTTTTGAAAATCCTAATCCCTCAGAAAATATGATAAATTTCGTGTACAGGACTTGGAAGAAAGTTGGAATCGAAAAGGAAACTTTCAGCAAAAAAGAAACTAAAATTCAAGTGCTGCTAGAAGACCTTGAACCGGTTCAGCCACTTTGAACTAGTTCAAGATGGACAGTACTGAATCTCACAGATTCTTGAACCGGTTCAGCCCTCTTGAACCGGTTCAAGATGGGCAGTCTTGAAAATTTTCGATATTTTGCAATTATTCTTGTTTCGAACCTTCTAGAAACCTTCCTAACTATTTTCACTACCTCTCAACCTTCTTAGAGCATCTTTCTTATTATCTCAGAGTGTAGTAATGAACACTTGACTTTCTTATTCAAATCCGCATCCAATCTTCAATCTTTGAAATTTTTGAACCAAAAAATTACAACTCGATCGGACTTATTTTGATAACGAAAAAAGCCAATTACAAAATATATATCTCACAATTATAACATCATACTATTTTAGTTCATGATGAGTAAGGATATATATGTAAAGGAAATTATAATTTTTCATAAATTACATTTGAATCATAATGTCAGATATTTTACACAACTGCAACATATCTAAGCATAAGAAATCTCAATACAAAAGAGATTCCAAAATAAAGTGGCTATGTGATGTATTTAATTCTAAATATGCCATATATTAAAAAAAAATCTAAAAATAATTTAGAAGGCAACAAATTTTAAAAACATTTTCTTCCCTACTGCATGAAACCAAAATTCTACTTTGCAAAGGATGGCTTACAAAAATTAATAAATACTGTATGTACATTTTGAAAAGTTTAGGTTCAGCGTTCTCCCTTTTCATCAGATGGCATGATGCATGCGGACCTTTTCCTTGCCTTTTTAAGAGTTCACCAAATGATGCCTATAACAACATAGGATATTTTATCTAACTCGAGAGGATATAGAGTTGGGAAGAGAATTAGCAATGTGTTAAAATTGGTGCCACTTTGCCTTTAGTAAAAAATTAGGGGAGACAAAAAATACTAAGTATGTCTGAAGAATTTAAATCTCCAATCTAGACGGTTAAGTATTGCAATTGATTTCCCTCGTATTTTTTTTTATTAAAGGGAGTTTTTATTATTTATTATTATTTTTTTTTCAGAGGCACCTTTGTTGCCAAAGCCAACTCTAGAAACCAAAATCTAACAAAGCAAGACATAAACTAAGCTTGTAAAACCTATGTTTATCATCAACGACTTTACGTTATTTTGAGTCTGCAAGAACCTGAGTTGGCATTAGAGGATGCCATAAGGGAAAAATGCTAGGAATCAACTAACGTGCATATATCCATGCGTGCGTTGAAATCGCCAAGTCTTGTCTACAACTAGTGAGAATGTATCTCGAGTAGGCCAGGATTGATATAGGAATCCCCAGTAGCACAACCACCACAAGCATAGCTCTCTGCATGTGAATGTCGAGCATATGATATTGCTTTGCTCTGTAGGCTTGTCCACAAAACTTTTCTAATCCGCATCCTATTCCCAGCTACTTCAAATGAAATTTTAAGATTTTAGGGCCTTTACTAGTACAAATCGGGATTTTTTTTTCTTTCTTTCTTTCCCTACACCTCTACATAGTAGGATATTGATTTTTTATGAAGGTTTGGCTTATTATAAGATGAATAATATGTTTTTTGCATAATTATGTAAAATTTGCATCGGTATTTTCTTTGCTCAGTTCTCTTACTACTAATCTTCGAACTCTAGACCTAGAGGTTGACCACACAAACCAACTTTCATGCTAAAGAGTCCATGGTAGCCAAAAATTCTTATAAACATTATATAGCTGTGTTGCTCAACTCTTTATCTGTCTATATGTTATCAAATTGAATACATTATAGTAAGTTGTGTGTGTATATTTTTATAAATTGCTTGATATGATAAGAAAAATCAAGTCACTTAATTCCGAAGGATTATCTTATTCACAGTAGGATATCAAGTTTTTTAAACTTCTTTTTAAAAATTTATTTCAATCTTCAAATTCTAATCTCATTTTTTCTTATTCTTTGTTTTTTTTTTTTTTTTGCAGGTTTCACATTGATTACAATCTAGCTCCCTTTTTGGATTCAGATTTCTTTTGGGATTTTGATGTGTATGCGATTAGCATTGTGTAATATTGGATTCAGATATTAACATTTTGATATGTGTTGGAAGTATCATTTTAGAGTTTGGATTATTTGCATATTTTATTATCTAAATTCTTAATGAATTGAATTTTTATTTATTTATTTATTTATTTTTTATCTTCTATGTTTGATTATCAAATATATTGATTTTGAGTGATATGTTTGGATTTTAGTTTAAATTGTTTAGTTTATTAATATTTAATTTAAGTTACAGGTTCTAAATTTTAAATACGTGAAAACAAAATTATACTATTGTATTAGTCGCACGACATATTATTTTATTACAATATTTAGCTTATAGTGACAATATATTTCTGGCAACATGATAGATATATTGTGATAAAAGATATTTTGTCACAATAAAACAACTTATATAGTAACAAAATATTGTTGCAACATGGTATATATATTGCGACAAATGTATTGATTTATTTTGTCACAATATTTAATCTTATAGTGACAACATATCTGTCGCAACATAGTATATATATTTCGACAAATGATTTTGTCACAAGTAAATAACCCATAGCGACAATTAATTTGTCGCAACATGGCATATATATTGCGATGTATTTTTTGTCATAATTAAAATAACTTATAGCGATAATAAATTTGTCGCAACGTAGAATATATATTGTGACCAAAACTTTTGTCACGATAAAACAGTTTATAGTGACAATATTTTTGTCGCAATATAGGACATATATTGCGATAAAAGATTTTGTTATAAAAAAATAACTTATAGCGATAATTTTTGTCACAAAAGAGTATACATATAGTGACAAAATTTCATTTAATCACAAAATGGTGATCAACAGTGACAAATTTTATTAGTCTTGGAGGGTGTATGACGACAATTTTTGAATATTTTACGACAAATGTTTTGTCACAATTTTTTATTCATTTTGTGACAAAAAATATTTTATCGCAATATATCTTACCTCTAGCGACAAATTAACATTTGTCACAAAAAACATATTGTGACCGACTTCTAGCGACAACATTGCGACAATTTTTTTTTTTTTTTTTTTTTTTTTTTTTTTTTTTTTGTCTCCATAATCTTATCATGACAAAATATGTACTTTTAGCAACAAATTCTTCTGTCACCAAAGACCAAATTTGTTGTAATGTAATATAATTATAATATTTGTTAAAAAAAAATAATGTAAAGCATTTAATAAAAATTATTTTATATATTTTTGTAAAAGCTAAATATATTAAGAAATTTCTTACACTTTAGAATAGATATAGATATAAATATAGATATAGATAAAAGAGAAAGAGAGAGTCCCATGTGTTGAAGAAAATTTGAAGATAAGCATCAAAGTTATAGTCCAAAATCTGCAACTAGAAGTCATAGAGCTCTAGTCAATGTGATTGCCGTGATTGTGGATTTGGCCGCTAAATTGCTTCGCTAATTCGGATCAATCCAACGCCAGTAGGAATAGTTGAAGGGATAGAAGGTAGCTCTCGCATATTCGTTCTGTTCCAGTCGGGATTCGGTAAGCGTAGAGACGCACCAAAATGCGGCGCGAACCCTCTGAAGTGGATTCCTAAGCAGTCCCTTACATTGAGTTCTTAAGTGGTTTATATTTGGTCACATCATTCACCAACATTTGGCAATTAGAACCGTGTTTGACAATTAGATCACCATTTATAAGTAACATTTCACCACCATTTATAAGTAACATCAAGTCTAAAAAGTAATATCACCATTTGCAAGTGGTAACATCACCACTTAAAAGGTAAAGGTTGTTGACAGCCAAATACACCACCATTTATAAGTAACATTTCACCACCATTTATAAGTAACATCATATGAGTCTAAAAAGTAATATCACCATTTGTAAGAGGTAATATTACCACTTAAAAAGTAAAGGTTGTTGACAACCAAATACCTAATATATAAATAGTATGTTGAATTGAGTTATATTTATGTGTGATTATTACTTTTTCAGTACTACGTGAATACCTTTTTTTTGATGGTGAAGGCGGTGATTGTGGCAATTAATATTAAATTTTGTCAATTTTTTTTCAAAGATATGTTAAATAATTTATACCTAAGTATATGTTTTTTTTTTTTAATATTTGGAAGGAAAAAAAAAAGATGCAACTCTTTTCATTAATTTTGGAAACATCAAGTGTTTTATTTGTTATCTAAAGTTAATCCAAGTGACTTTAATTTTGGTTTAAATTCTTTAAATTAACATGTTAAAGTGTTTTTAAAATACTTTAATTTCAAATAACAACATAAATGATATGTTGAATTGAGTTATATTTATTTATGACATTACTTAGTCTGCATTATGTGCATACCTTATTTTGAGGGTGAAAATGGTTTTTAATTTTTTTGTAATTGGTGTATCCAAACGCTGCCTCAAGAGCTATTAAATAAAGAATGATGTGGCCAAATATAGACCACTTCAAACTCACTACAGGGGACCGGAATGGATTTGCACTTCAGAGGATTCACGCCCACCAAAATGGATGCATAATCATTCGGTCAGATCACATATCGAAAGATGGGGAATTGGCGGTGTTTCTCCAAAATAATCACGGAAGAATTTTTATTCATTTTATTAGTTATGAAGCATATGAGTACTTTAGTAATTCATTATAACAACGTGAGGCTCTTCTAGTAAATTATACAAGTTCAATCTGTTAGTGCATTTGACGGTCCGTCACAGGGAGGTCCGTATAGGTTAGTTTCATTTTCATTAGAGGTCCAAATAATTTTCTAAATTATAGTGGAGGTACCTGTAATTATGACAAACTATAGAAGATGTCCCTATAATTATGGTAAATCATAAGAAAGGTTCTTGTAATTATGACAAACTATATGAGATATTCTTGTAATTATGGCAAACCATATGTGATGTCCGTGTAATTTATCCAACATAATTACTAATAGATGTACAAATTAGAGCTATTTTTTTGAAATTAAGGAGAGTTAGATGCAAATATTGCAGTATAATTCAACAGAATTTTTGCATTTTTTCTTTTAATACCACTATTTTTATTATGGGTTAATTCCATCTACACCCCTGACCTTTGACCATATCCCACTTACACCCCCTCTAGGTTTCAATATTCCACGCACACCTCCTAACCTTTGACTATACGTATCAAGTTACCCCCTCCTGTTAAACAACTAACGGTGTTTTCTGATGTCAGCATGATAAAATTGTTAAAAGGTCAATTTTACCCTTCTAATATGTAAATTGACATCTTTAACCTCATTTACCTATACACAATTACAAAACTACCCCTAATTTGTTAACTCAAATGTTTAAGAATACCTTTCTTTTCACTATATATACATCAATATTTACATTCATGTATTATCAGGTTTTTTTTTTAAAAAAATAAAAAACTATAACAAGATGTAGTTCCTTGAATAAAGAGATTAAAATTTTGAAGTTCAAGCATTTGTATCAACATTATGATTTTTGATTAGTGTAGAAAGAAAGCTATCATTTGAACTATACAAAAAACAACAAAAATGAATTAGTTCTAAAATTGAGTTAAGGTAAATATGATCACATCAAGATTCAAGACACTAGTACAAAAAATTTAACAGAAAATTAAGGAAATGCTTATTTCTGGAAACAAAGGGTGATCAAAGCCCTCATCATGAAATGAATACAGTTAAAGTTTCTGCTGTTGTTATCAAATTGTGAAAAGGGGTCTTAGGGTTTTCCATCTGCGAAATGTCAGACAAAAATTGAACTGAATTATCTTATTCGTCGTGATCCTTCCACTTGAATTCAGATCGATCAAGAGCAAGAGACATATATAGCAGATAAAGTAAGCTCAAACCAAAACCCTTCATATATGCTTATGCTCAAATACAAATCATGATACATCCATCAGTTACCTAATCATACAAAATCCAATTCACAAACCTCGTTGTCTGAAGAGATACAAAGATTAGCTTCAGAGGTCATTTCCTACTAATATCCAAGCTTAATAGTCAATTAAAGACAAATCAAGTAAAAAAACATAAGCCATGGAAATGAAAAAACCCATTCCCCATCCTCATCCCCTCCTCAAATTTCATGTTCACTGGCATCATCCTAATAGCAATTACAAGTTTCATATCTTTTAGAGAGAGAGAGAGGGTTTTTACTCCTTTCCATCATGTTAGACAAAAATTCCTTCAAGATCTTCATCGCTAGCGTCGAAGTCACTCGTCCGGATCTTCATTTGCTGGCTCCAGGGGCGGATCCAGGATTTCTAGGTGGGGTGGGCTAACATTAAACATCATTATTAAGGAATTGGTTTCGGCCTTTATTTTAGTATGGTGGCTAAGTTTACTGGGCTTCATTTGGTTTTTGGGGTGGGCTAATACTATTAATTTTTTTATTTTATTTTTTGGGCTGGGCTAATATATTAGTATAGTAAATTTTTTTTTAGGGGTGGGCTATAACCCACCTTTGCCTACCCCTATGTCCGCCCCTGGCCAGCTCCGCCTGGGTCCACCTTCGTGCCTCCTGACGTGTGAAGTCGCCGGATTCTGCCAATCCCCAGTTGATGACTACTCCAATGGATTACGGGGTTGTCCTCAGCAATTCTATAGAGGTGGACGGCGCCCGTGGAACTGTCTCTGTTGCGCCGTGGGTCGGTTGCAAGTTTGGAGCAACTGGGTTTGTTAATATCACCGGCGGTGGCCGTTTGGGGTGTGACCGGCTTCTGGCGGGTGCTCCGGCAAGTGAATTCCTCTTCGTCATGTGAGGCAGAAGCCACTGCTCTCTAAGCTTCTATACAGCGGCAACGTTCCTCCGTCTGTTTCTTAAGTAACCGGAAAACCTTGTCACCGGCCACAGCCGGCGGATTCGTTGGGAAAGATATTGCTGACATCTGACGGCTTCGCCATACTCGCCGGACTGAAGTTCCCTTGAGGTGGAGCACATAGTCCTAACTGTGAAGAAGCGCTGAGTCAACATGGACCCGATCGGTGTCAAGCTACAGCGAATGAATCCGACCAACATTACCTGTACACGAAGTTCAGTCCGTCCATGGCATGCTCACTAAAACTGCATCACCCGTACTTGCTGTATATGTGTACATATTTGTATGTAATGTGTATATATTTGTATATGACTATGTGAGTAGGGTGTTTTAGTCTTTTTAATTCAACTCTAAATTTTTATAAATATTAGTAATATATCATTGATGGGCAAAATTGTAAAATTACACAACTCCGTTGGTAAAGTTAACGACCATCACAGTGATGGGAGGTAGGTGAAATATTGAAATCTAAAAAGAGTATAAGTGAGATATGATCAGAGATCAGGGGTGTAAATGAAATTAACTCTTTTATTATTTATAGATGTTGAATAATCACGGATAAGAAAAACCTTCAACTCCGAAGAACAAACATGAGAGTTTGTTAGTAAGACGTTTCATTCAATACCCAAACAGTAATTCACTCGTGAGTCGTGACGGTGGTTGTTGCCTAGTGCTACTTAGCTGTCTTGTCATATGTATATATAGTATGTATATATTCTGTATACATACTATACCTTAAGAGTACAATTTAGCTAACAACTAACTAACAACACCACCACCTAAAATAGAAAAAAGATGATATTTTTGCCTCCTATCAATTATACAAACACACATACTTTACAACTATTTATCTAACACCACCATGAAAATAGACCATTTCTTTACCTAGCGGATCATATTAATTTTGGTATTTATATTACTCCATGTGAATAATTGGAGTGTCCCATATTAACAGACTTTTTTTTTTTTTTTAATTTTTATTTTTTGTAATTGCTCAAAATAGATGAAACATTATTTCGACCTAAAATATTATTTTAAAAAATATTATTTCAGGTAATATATATATATATATATTATTTTTTGATATTTGACAAAAATGCATGTTGAAGTTAAGATTAAGTTCATCGGACTGAAGGTCTAAAATAAATTATAAAAAATGAATGAGTAAGTTATTTTTATTAAATTTTAATTTTTTTTATTCATAAATATTTTATGACAATTAAATACTAAAAAGTATTTAATTTTGCACATCTTTCTATCTCAATCAGTAATTAGAGGCAACTTAGTTACAATGTGAAGTGAGGTTAATAATTGTTAATGGACCTCACTCATCCCTGGTTTTTTAAAACTTGAATGCCCTTCGTAAATAATTGACGTGGACCACACAGTCACAGAATTAAAATATTTTTAAAAATATTTTAACCTCACTTCACATTGTAACTAAGTTGACTCTAATTACTGATTGAGATAGAAAGATGTGCAAAATTAAAGGGATTTAGAGTTAAACGCCCCTTAATTTTGATAAGCAGGGCACTTTCAACCCCGAAAGATACATAATTACCCAAATATAGTGGTACTTTCAGTAAATTTTTTAAAATCAGGGGCCTTTTTTGTCATTCAATTTTTCTAAGCCTGTCTGCCTAGTCAAACCATTTTAGAGCTAAACAAAAATATTCAACAGTAAACCCAAACAGCCTTGCACTGTTAAGCCCCCCTCCCTGGCCACTATATACCCCAGATCTCACTCTCTCTCTCTCTAATCTTTGAGTTCTTTGTCATCTGCTTAGTGGGTATTGTTTGACAGGGTTTTGTGTAAAAATGGCGGCAGGAGTGAACAGGAAGATATCAGCGGCATCAGCTAGGGCTCATACCAGAAAGTCAAAGCAGAACAATTCTTTACAACTTCCTTCAGGTGGATTTTCTACATCTTTTTATAGTAATATGATCTATGTTTATATACACACACACACACACAGACACACACGCACAAGCACAAGCACAAGCACAAGCACAAGCACGTCTTTTTGTCTAGTCTCTGAATTGATGTTCATATCAGTGTACCTTTTAGATTCTCCAATTTTCTGAAACAATTGTGCATAAAAGCTCATGGATTAGAATTTCGGATATCATTCTGATGTGAAACGGATAAGTTGCCTGTTTGGGGAAGTCAATTTGATGCATAATTTGGCACTTTCAAGAAATGGGTTGATGGGTTTATGATATATGCCAGCTTTTATTAGCAAAGTGATGATTCTGTTTGCTTTATGGTTTCTGGATGGTATTGTATTCATATAACCTTTCTCATTTTAGTGAATTTGATATGAGATTGTGCTGCTCTATGTATGTCCTTCACATAGATATCATTTTTGAAAGTTGTATAATGCATCTATTTCACATAAATATTTTCTGTTATATTTTCTGATCTCATAGTTTATAATATCTTAATTGAATCTGATGTTGATGCAAGATGTAATGAGTTGTGAACAATTTATGTCCAAGTGATTATTTATTTAGATTTATAGTATTCTAAACAATTGTGTATTTAAGGCTTTGTATGTATCTATGTTACATGGACTCTTAAAAGTAGTGAAGTACCCGTGTCAGATACACACTGCTCGGACATGAGTATGGGATATGGGTCTGACACTTTTGGTTGACATGTACTTAAAAAAGCATATCCAATTATTCAATTTTATTATACTATTACTTTAAAATAAGTTAAATGCATATATTGAACACTATGTTACATAAAAGCATTACTTCACTTATCAAAAAAAATGTTACATAAAAACATTACTTCACTCTAGAAAATAAAATAAAATAATTAAATGAAATAAAAATTTAGCCGTGTCCATGTGTCCTGTTTGGGGATTTGACACGTTTGACGCATGGATACATACTCATACACGACACACGTACCTGAGTCCATGTAACATAGGTATATATATTAGAGTTAATAGCAAAATAAAAACTTTTGTTTGCTTTGTGATATTTGAGTATGGCTAACCTCTCATATTGCAACTTGTCATGTTGTTGTAAATTTGAAATAAAATCCGTACTAGCTTGAGTGATATCTCCTCAATCCAAGTCCCAAATGGGCAAAAGTGGGTGGTTGGCTGTGTATTACCTATAATTTTTTTTTTTTGTTATATATTTCATATGTATTTGAATTTTTTTTATGATTGACTAATGGAATTTCCCTTTGATCATAATTATTGTTCTTCAAAATTAGTATAAAATTGCCCCCAATCCCCACCTCCATCACTTTATGGACTGTATATTAATTAGAACTTCAAACTTTCAGGGATCTTTAAGAAAATATTATTGGTCTTCCTTATGGGGTTTCTGGCATGGGCTTATAAGGCAATACAACCATCTCCATCCAAGATATGTGGATCTACAGATGGCCCCCCTGTTACAGCTCCAAGAATAAAACTTAGGGATGGAAGGCATCTGGCCTACAAAGAGCTTGGTGTTCCAAAAGACGTAGCCAAATATAAAATTTTATTTGTCCATGGTTTTGACTCTTGTAGACATGCTGCTGTTGTAGCCCTATCACCGGTATTGATTCTTTATTTTGTTTCTCATTTTTGCTTTTGTCTTGTCCTTCAGTTTAACTTTTTGATTTTTTTGTCAAGAGTCTGTTCGGTTTTTTTATAGCTTGAGTTAGTGGTTGGTTTCTACAGGATGTTGTTGAAGGTTTAGGGGTCTATATTGTGTCATTTGACAGACCTGGTTATGGAGAGAGTGATCCTAATCCAAAACGAACTGTGAAGAGTTTGGCTTTGGATATAGAGGATCTTGCTGATCAGTTGGGACTAGGATCCAAATTCTATGTGATAGGCTTTTCAATGGGCGGACAGGTGATTTGGACCTGTCTCCAGTACATACCTCACAGGTACAGTTTTCAAGTTATATGTATAAGAGATGGAAGGAGAGAGAGTGCTCAAAACAGTATAAATGTTGTGAACTTCTTTCTTATAAAATGTTACTGCTGTCTTTGATTTTTTATAAATTTTATCCTTTATCGCTTTTATCCATCTCAAGCGGGATATTATAATGGAAACAGGCTCGCAGGAGCAGCGCTTATAGCTCCAGTTGTTAACTACTGGTGGCCTGGTTTTCCTATGAACATATCTAAAGAAGCCTATTACCAGCAGTTTCCACAGGACCAATGGGCACTTCGTATTGCTCACTACACACCATGGCTTACCTATTGGTGGAACACTCAGAAGTGGTTTCCTGCTTCTAGTGTTATAGCTCACAACCCTGCACTGCTTTCACGCCAAGATTTAGAACTCTTCCCCAAACTTTCTCCAAGAAAGGAGTATGCGGTATATATTCAGAAAACCTTACCTCTCGTATGATTTTTCATGCTGAATGGAATGGTATTTTGCAGAAGATAGCAACATTTAGAGTTTGTGCATCATAAAATTTTGTTTGGACTTGGAGAGTGTTTCTTTAAAATATTGGTAACCATTTATATTTGAAAATATGAACTTGAAGTATTTGTTTCTAAATTGTAATGGATTTGAAGTTCCGAATTTCAGCAAGGAGATAATTGAACATGGTAAACTCCATTCAATGGCTAGATTTTAAACCAAGTGCATCTTTGTTTGGATTGTTACAAGTGTTTGCTGATCCCATTACTAAGAAAATCTTAAAAGTTGATACTAATTGCATTGCTTAAATTTTTAACTTTTGTTTTTTTTTTATCTCAACATGTGTCGTCAAATTGGCTATCATAGGAGCTATTGTTCAATGTTATACATATTTAAGTTGTACTACAATGTTCTGGCCTACTTCCGGTGCAAATAGTTGTGGATGGAAACCTTAAACATGGAATTGCTTTAGCTGGAAGAGTTCATAATTTTTTTATTGTGGTAGCAAATTGATAGAATGCATGCATTTATAGAAAGATTACTTAGCTGTATTTATCTTTCATGTTATTATTTTTGCTTGCTTCCATTTAGTTTATGTTTCATATGAGTTCAGAGTAAAGGATTTTATTATAGGAGCATTCAGCACCGATTATGGGATTCCTCACGATTGGAAGCCTTCCCTATGAATGAAACTATTTTTCACTAGAGATTGCAATCTAGAATATCGTATATGAAATTGATATAACGTTTTCCAAAACTAAAACGGCGACTTGGAGGTGGATTACGGTTTTATTAGCTGTATAAAATGTTGGTTTTGGCTTTGTTAAGGCTAATTGCTTGGTGCAGTAATAAAGGTTAGGTTGCCAAGCCTGAGAATACGGATTCAAGTTGAGGGCATCTACTTTGTGCAAATAATGCCAAGTCTTAGCCTGTAGCAAGTTTTTCCCGCCCAAATCCTCAAATAATGGGGAACGCACTTAGTGGTGATCTTTTTTCTTCAATGACTCTATCAAAATGCTTTAAAACCTTCTCGATTATTTGTTAGGTCAATAGACAATCTGCTTATTTGGCACTGCAGTTCTGTGTAAGGGTGGCGATGGGGTTAATCAAAAGAAGATGACTTAGGTGAGTGACTCATGGAAATTGCTTTATCAAGCAACTGCATCGTCAATTGGTGTTGCTGTGACTGGGATGAGAAGGAAAGGAGAGAGAGGTGGCTATGGAGAGAAAAGTGCAGGTGTGCTCCACCGTGCCACTACACAAGTAAAATTGATTTAAACTCCATGAAGAGCAATACTTAGATGTTTCCACCAGTGTGACAGTACTGTCTTGAACTGGAACCTATAGATGACGTGCACTGCAAAACAGAAGGGCCACAGGCATAGGTACAAGCTCTGGTGGACATTGCTGATGGTATCTGAACCTGCATCGCTATGTGCCTTCTAGATAGAAAATACATTGCACTTCCCATCCGTCGATGCAGCACAACTCAACAATCCACATGTCGCTCCCGAACTCGTGTATCTGTTCTCTAGTTGAAATGTGGATGTATTGCCATAAAGCATTTGGTTTCCTGAGTACATGGCATGTTGTATCTCCATGATGTTTTGCATTCATGTCACTTTCTCGGTCAAATGCACATGGTGTTTAGACATTGGACACATACAAATAGGCCAGGGTGAGTTTCTACATGTGAGGCTTGATACCAGAACTATTCCACCGCTGTGCACTCTTTGGCCACAGGAATGGCTATGTAGGATTGGTTCACATTGTACATTCTCTTGCAGTGTGGTGTCATAGACATTCAACTGTGCACTCTCAGGTCAAGGAGTTGGTTTCCTCTAAAAAAAAAATAGGATCTTTGACTTTCTGCTCAGTCCCATGAAAAAGGTGCTTTGTCATGCATGCACCTGGTGCATCTTATGCTTGTTTGGAACTTTGGATTGGTAGTAGGGTTCAAGGAGCTCATCTATCTAGGTCATGGAGTGGAGGGCAGTGAGGTTCTCAGAGTTCTCTTGATACTCTCTGTTTTTCCTCTAAGACTGCCTCAGTTTCCACCTTACCTAATCTACTGGGATTGCCATCATTTTATGTGAAATATCTTTTAGTGTAATAGGACCCAAACACCTACATATCTCGCTGTAGTGGTGTCATGTCTGCTCTTAGTCGTGTGAAGTCACTATAGTTTTTAACAGGTACTATTGGTACAATGAAGCTCTTTGATCTAGAACACGGGAAAGGAGTCTTTAGAGCATTAGTATCAGTAGAAATATATGGGGAGATGTTATGAATATTTTGTTATAGGGTAATACTTGTCTGAGGTGTGACAGGCTTAACTTTTCCACCATGTAATTCAATTGTTATGTGTGTATATTTCATTCCAAGACATTAAGGTAAGTTTTTGTCCTATTCATCATTGGCAATTTCTCAAGGAAAGGTGTTCTGCTTAAATATCTTTTTAATATACCTTGATATTTTTAATTCTAACTTATTTTGAGTCCTCCTATTGTTATGTTATTGTCTTGTTTAAATATTTAGTAGCTTGATGCAATTTTCAATTTTTTTGTTTTATTTTTATTTTTTAGTAATTTCCTTTAGCAAGTTGCTATTTTGGTTAAATCTAAACTCTTTCTCATAATTGTAGCAATTTAGTGCTCATGTTAATATCAAAATTTTGCAATAACATGCTCTTGTGCTGAACTAGTAAGTGAATTAATCTTTGAGAGACTAGGATTAATTGTTGTAATGGTATCTTAGTTCGCCTACGAAGCAACTCAAGAGTCAATATAGGCAACTTGCCATAAATTCCCAGGAGTAAAGGTAAAAGCCAAAAGGTCAGAAGCCACCATACAGGTCGAAATCTAATAAGTCACACTTTAATGTGCCAATGATTGCCATCATTAATCACTAAACATCGGATCATCACTGCTGGTGTCTCTGTTCTGCGGTGGAAGCAGTTTGTGAGTTCCATTCTGGTGGCTATGTGGTTGTGTTCTTTCTACTGCTGTGTTGTTTGATGGGAAAAAGGATGAGATTCTTGTAGTTCCAAGTTTGCAATGTGTTTTTTCTTCAGGAAGTTTGTCTGAATGTGTTGTTTGATGGAAAAAGGGGTGAGATTCTCGTAGTTCCAAGTTTGCAATGTGTTCATTCTTTAGGAAGTTTGTCTGAGCTATGTATGAGTGTGCTGATGATGTTTGATTTGATTTACAGAATAGGAGAACATTGTAGTACAAAAGGAAGTCCGGCTTGTGAATGTTCACCCCCTTCCCCACCCCTTTCATAATCATGTTCTCTATCATCTCTTCTTGTGAAACAATTTTCTTCTTCTTCTTTTCCTTTAAATAGCGTCTTACAATAGTTGTATAGGTCCGTAAAAACATTAAGTGAATCCCGAGATTGTTCACCGTTTTGGTGGTGATGTGCTGAATTAGTTATGGCTACACTACGCAATGAAACTCATCTGTGACCTGCAAACATGTTCTTAGCCACTTTAAGTAGTCAGATTTTGATAATTGATTGAGCTTTTGAATCTGACTGAATTGGGAAGAGTTTGGAATGTTTAAATAATAGAATCATAGTTCTAGCTTACCCAAAAAAACTCTATTTGTATTAGCAAGAATTTCTTTCCCCCCCTGAATAATTAGCAAGAAACATTCTGTACACACTAAATTGTTAATTTCTTTTGTTGTGCTTAAATTAGTTTCGAAAAGTTAGTTTGGGTACTATAATTGTGATTTTATGGTTTAATATTTAATTACTTTTTCCGTGGGCTTCAGGCACAAGTAAGACAGCAAGGAGAATTTGAGTCCCTTCACCGTGACTTGATGATTGGCTTTGGAACTTGGGAATTTGATCCTATGGATCTGAAGAACCCATTTCCAAATAACGAAGGTTCAGTTCACCTCTGGCATGGTGATGAAGATCTCTTTGTGCCTGTTACACTGCAACGTTACATTGCTCAGCGTCTCCCTTGGATTAAGTATCATGAGCTACCAGGTGCCGGGCATATGTTCCCATATGCTGATGGAATGGCAGATGCTATTATAAAAGCACTATTAATCAGGGAGAATAGCGTTCCATAGATATGACATGCCACACAAGGTCGGCATTTCTGTTCCTCTCACATTTCTCTCTTTAGCTATTTTTATCTGTATCATAATTTTTGAACCAGGTGTTTATTTTTATTTTAATCTAGTCCTTTAAAAATTACACTCCCATTTTTTATTTTTATTGGCATTTCTTATTTTGATCTGGTTTTGGAATGATTTTTTCAGGCCGATCAGCTTAATCTGACTAGAGAGAGAGCACGAGGTGTCCCACGGCATGGTTGTAAAGCAAGCTTGCCAGATTAATTGCATTACAATCACTCCCTGTATGCTTGTACCAGTTTACATTTATTTACACATAAAAGACTCAAATCTAGTCATTTAAACATTTACTCCTAATGTTGGCTTGTGCGCTGTGTGTGTGTGAGTATAGAATCTATAGAAATATTATGATTGGTAAACGTTGCTCTATCTATATGCTGATCATGAATAAATAGATTCAGCCAACTTCGGTGGCAACCAGCCAAGTAATTACAAATAGTGGTCACATCCCAACAATTTGAAGAAGGAATTCAATTTTATTATTTTTCTATATATACAAGAAAGTTAATTGGTAGCAATTAGCAATAACATGTAGTTGGTGAAAACGATAATAATAATAATAATAATAATAATAATAATAATAATAATAATAATAATAATAGTGTGTATAAGTTGATTTGTGTGTTGAAAGAGCAAGGCAAGTTTCTCAGTTCTTGAAGCTGTGAGAAGATTGAAAAGTAGGCAAGGAATTATATAGAGAGAGTATATACCAGAGCCTTTCAGTCTTTACAATTTTTTGGTTACAAGTTTTATGTGGCATTAGAATAAAGCATTCATCAACTCAATAAGAGGAATGCTCCTTATAAATTTTTTTGTGGGAAAATCATTCCAGAAAAATAGATACTCCAATTTTAATTAAGCTTCTCAAACATTAGAAAGGAAATGAGAATATAGAATGAGCACCCCACTCTACTTCATTTCCAGAGTGTTATGATAATTAAGTGAACACATTGACTACTTGAAACAAAAAATGATATGAAATGATTTTAATTTCATTTCTAAAAATTCTTAGTTTTATAAAATATTACTAGTAAATGAGTAATTGAAAATATGAGAAGGGCAAAAGTTTCATGTTATCTCAATAATAAAATGAAAATTTAAAAAAAGAAAAGAAAATTATACAAGCCAAATAAATTTTAAAAGACTATAGTGACACTTTGAGTAAAAGACTCGAAATCGGAAGCCTTTCTGTCCTGCAATTTTTGTGAAACTCTCTCTCTACTCTCTCCTAGTTAAGAAGACGGTAGAGCTAAAAACAAAAACACAAACAGCCAAGTCCAGCTGAGCTCTCTCTCCCGGGAGATAGTGAACAGTGGCTACTGTTTGAGGGAGGAAAGTAATATTTTTGGGGATAAAAATTGAAAAAAATTGATTCGGAATACCTTAAATTCAAGAAAATAAAAATAGTAATCCCGGGCCGAGAAGCTCCACAGCTCTCCTCCCTCGCCACCCTCCAATTCGCCCTATCCTCCGTCGGCCGCGTCCTCTCCGAGATCGCCGACCCCCACCGCCAGATCTCCAACCTCCACCGCACCACCGAGCTCCTCCAGTTGCGATAGTTATAAGGTTAAAGGTATGTTACTAGTATTATATAAGGTTAAACTTTAGTGTAATGCTGATATACAACAAGAGAAATATGTCTATTCTCTTGTTCTATCCTTCAAATGAAAATAGCAAAGATTGAAAAAGTTTAGATGAACAAATGATGATATTAGATGGAATCAATAGACAATGTCTTCTTCATTTTATAAGATTAGACTGATTTAGACGAATTGCACAACCCAATTGTACAATCTATTGCTCTCCAACCTCCACCGCATTATACCAATTGCACATTTCATCGCGTCCTCCACCTCTCCAAGAACATGACGGACTCTTAAGGATATCAAGTTTTAAATGGTCAGACAATTATTTTTTAAGTTTGTGGTCAAAGCAAATTTTTTTCCCCCCAATTTTGGTCACCTTTCTAATTTTCCCTTGTTTGACAAAAGGTGGGTGTTGAAGAAAAATGGCAGCAGCAGCGAGCAGGAAGATATCAGTAGCATCAGCTAGGGCTCACACAAGAAAGTCAAAGCAGAACACTGCTTTACAACTTCCTTCGGGTGGCTTTTTCTACATCTTTTTATTGCAAACACGGTCTGTATGTCTAGTTTGATTTTCCAGTTTGGGGAAGTGATTTTGATCTATAATTTGGCACTCTCAACAAATGAGTTGATGGGTTTATGATATATGCCAGTGTTTATAAGCAAAGTGATGACTTTGTCTGCTTTATGGTTTTTGGGTGGTGGTGTAATTTGATATGAGTTTCATGCTGCTGTACTATTTATCCCTTCAAATAGATATCATTTTTGAAAGTTCTTGTTATATTTTTTGAAGCATAGTATGTTCTGATTTCAAAATAATTTATTAATTGAATCTGATGTTGATGCAACAGAGGATGAGTTGCGGAAATTTTCTGTCAGGGAGTTTATTCAGATTTTAGTACTTTAAACAATTGAGTATATAAGACTTTGTGTATATATATATATATATATATATATATATATATATTAGCTTTAGTAGTGTCGTAAAAACTTTTGTTTGCTTCGTGATATTTAAGTATGGCTGATCTCTCATATTGCAACTTGCCATGTTGTCGTAATGAATTTAAATATAACCCATATTAGCTTGACTGGTATCACCCCAATTCCAGTCCCAAATGGGAAAAAAATGGGTGTGTGGGTGTGTATTACCTATAAAAAAAATTCATACGTATTTGGAATGACTTTTTAGGATTGTGTGTAAAAAAGCACAAAGTGTGTGAGCACAAAGTGTGTGTAAAAAGAAAAAAATAAAATAAAATCCTATGTTTGATCGTATCTATTGTTCTCGAAATTTAAAAATAAAATTGCCCTTATCGGACTTTATGGACTGTATATTAATTAGAACTTCAAACTTTCAGGTATGTTTAAGAAAATATCAATGCTCTTTTTTATGGGGTTTCTGGCATGGGCTTATAAGGCAACCAACCACCTCCACCCAAGATATGTGGATCTACAGATGGCCCCGTTACAGCAACAAGAATGAAACTTAGGGATGGAAGGCATCTGGCGTACAAAGAGCACGGTGTTCCAAAAGACGTAGCCAAGTATAAAATTGTATATGTCCATGGTTTTGACTCTTGTAGACATGATCCTGTAATAGCCAGGGTCCTATCACCGGTATTGATTCTATTTTTCTTTCTTTCTTTCTTTCTTTTTTTCCCTTTTTTTCTTGTCCTTCAGTTTAACATTTTGATTTTTTCGTCAAGAGTCTGTTCGGAGTTTCTGTAGCTTGAGTTAGTGTTTGGTGTCTACAGGATGTTTTTGAAGGTTTAGGGTGTCATTTGACAGACCAGGTTATGGAGAGAGTGAGACTAATCCAAAACGAACAGTGAAAAGTATGGCTTTGGATATATAGGAGCTTGCTGATCAGTTGGGACTAGGATCCAAATTCCATGTGACAGGCTTTTCAATGGGTGGATATGTGATTTGGACCTGTCTCAAGTACATACCTCACAGGTACAGTTTGCAAGTTATATGTATGAGAGCTGGAAGGAGAGAGTGTGCTCAAAACAGTGTAAACATTGTGAACTGCTTTGTTATTGGATAAGATTGCTGTCTTTGCTTTTTCATAAATTTTATCCTTTATCGCTTTTACCATCTCAAGTGGGATATTTTAATGGAAACAGGCTCGCAGGAGCAGTGCTTCTAGCTCCAGTTGCCAACTACTGGTGGCCTGGTTTTCGTATGAACATATCTAAAGAAGCCTACTACCAGCAGTTTTTGCATTGCTCACTACACACCATGGCTTACCTACTGGTGGAACACTCAGAAGTGGTTTCCTTCTTCTAGTTTTATAGCTCAGAGCCCTGCACTTCTTTCACGCCAAGATTTAGAACTGTTCCCCAATATTTTGCCAAGAAGGGTGCATGAGGTATGTATTCAGAAAATCTTACATTTCTTATAATTTTTCATGCTGAATGGATTGGTATTTTGCGAAAGATAGCAACATTTAGAGCTTGTGCATCATAAAATTTTGTTTGGACCTAGAGATTGTTACTTTAAATTATTGGTAGCTATTAATATTTGAAAATATTTATGAACTTGAAATATTTGTGCATAAATTTATATTGATTTCAAGTTTCCAAATTTCAGCTAGGAGATTTATGACCATGGTAAACTTCAACAGCTAAAATTTTAAACCAAGTGCATCTTTTTTTGTATTGTTACAACTGTTTGCTGATCCCATTACTAAGAAAATCTTAAAAGTTGATAATTCCATTGCTTAAAGTTTTTAATATTGTCTTTTGTCTCAACTCTCAACATATGTCTTCAAATTGGCTATCATAAGAACTATTGTTTGATGTTATGCATATTTAAGTTGTTGTACAATGTTTCTGGCCTACTTGTGGTGCAAATAGCTGTGGATGGAAACCTTAAACATGGAATTGCTTTAGCTGGAAGAGTTTATCATTTCCTATTATGGTAGAAAATTGATAGAATGCATGCACTTATGAGTGTGCTGATGTAGTTTGATTTGATAGACAACATAGGTGAACATTATAGTACAAAAAGAAGTCTGGCTTGTGAACGTTCACCCTCCCTCTTGTAATATCATGTTCTCTATCATATCTCTTGTGAAATTTCTTGATGTTGTGAAACTGATGGAATGATCCTTTGCACCAAATTTATTTTATTTTTTATTTTTTTGAAATTGCGTCTTACAGTAGTTACATGGGACCTTTATAACATCAAGTGGCTCTCGAATCCCGAATCCTGAGATCGTTCACTGTTTTCGTGATGATCTGCTGAATTAATTATGGCTTCACTATGTCATGGAACTCGTTCTGTGACTTGTAATCGTGTTCTTACCCACTTTAAGTCGCCAATTTTTGATAATTGATTGATCTTTTGAATCTTATTAAAGTTGGGATGAGTTTGGAACGTTTAAATTATAGAAGATGTGCTTATGTCTTACCTAACTCTATTTGTATTAGCTTACCCAAAATATATATGTATAAAATAGCAAGTATATTTTTCCCCTGAATAATTAGCAAGAAAATTTAGCTAACATTCACACACGGTAAATTGTTAATTTCTTTTGTTGTGCTTGAATTAGTTTTTTAAAAAAATTAGTTTGCTCGACTATAATCGGTCATTTTATGGTTAAGTTTATTACTTTTTCCTTGGGCTTTAGGAACAAGTAAGACAGCAAGGAGAATTTGAGTCCCTTCATTGTGAATTGATGATTGGCTATGGAACTTGGGAATTTGATCCTATGGAACTGAAGAACCCATTTCCAAATAATGAAGGTTCGGTCCACATTTGGCATGGTGATG